TGGCTCAGTGGTATAGCACTTGCCTTGCATGCCTGAGGCCCTGGGTTCGATTCCTCAGCACCACATAAGCAAAAAGAAAAAAGCCAGAAGTGGCGCTGTGGCTCAAGTGGTAGAGCGCTGGCCTTGAGCTGAAGAGCAGAGGGATAGCGCCCAGGCCCAGAGTTCAGGCCCCACGACCCAACCCAAAAGAAATTATTTTTCTCCCTCCCCCACAAATACATTCCACGGACGCACAGAAGGCCAACTGTACATTAAATACTGTAAAGTGCTAAGAAAAATAACCAGGGAACAATAGAGAGTTCTGATAGAAGGAGCATGAGAAGGATACAGAAGGTAATGTTTAAATGCATCTGCTCTACCATGCTTCATAGCATGCCTAATAGGTTAGGAATGGTCTACACTCATGGAAATGCCATGAGCTTGCAGTGGAGATTTTCACATTGTTTGTCAGAAACACTAACTTACTTGATCTATATAGGAAAAAAGCTAAAGAAAAGTAGTTTGTTAGTTAAGTAAAAGCATACCTTCAAGGAAATTTCTCTAAAATAGTCCCAAAATAACATAAATAAACTAATAAGAACAAAAAAGACAGAGATATAAACAAAAAAGGAAATAAACTAAAAGCAAATGAAGGACTGTACATACTACTAAACCAAAAAGGAAATAAACTAAAAGCAGATGAATGAAAGACTGTACATACTACAGGATTTTCATATTATCTTACTAAATACAGGAATACAAAACTATAGCAAACCAGTTTTGTCAGCCTTCTTGAGCTACTTTAAAAAAATTACTGCAGGTAAAATGTACAGGCATATACTGAAAAGAAAGGAACCTCTACAGGAGGATTTTGTTTAATGCTTCAATACCACTAAGGTTATCAAGAGTTCTGCAGCCATACAGGCTTATTTCTCAGCTGCCAGGATTAGAGTTACTTCAAAGAAAAGGGTAAATGTAAACTGAGAAATTAGCTTACCTTTTATGCTTGTAGTTACCAAAAGTCGAACCAAAGAACAAGGAAGACTAATAAATACTGTTTTTATTTGGGTGCCTATGTGAAGCATTAGAGGGAAGGAAATAAAGATTAGGCCACCAGCTCTTACTTTGCCACAAAGACAAAGGGAAGAAAGGGAGACGATAAGGACAAGGATCTCCTAAGAGGGAATCACTAAGGAAGAAAATAAAGAGTTCTCTCATAGGTCTCAAAACTTAAGGCCACAGTACTGTAAAGTTTACCTTACATTAGAAAAAATACTAACCAATAATATCTGAGATTCCTTCCACCTTTGGAAAAACAAGATTACTCTATTTTTGTGTATGTCAGTGTTAGGGCTTGAATCCAAAGCCTGGGCACTGTCTTTTAGCTTTTTTGCTCAAGGTTGGCACTCTTACCACTTGAGCCAAAGCTCCACTTTTAGCTTCTTGGTGCATAATTAGAGATAAAGAGTCTCAAACTTTCCTGTCCAGACTGACTTTGAACCATAATCCTAAATCTCAACCTCTTAAATAACTAGAATTACAGGCATGAACCACCAGCACCAGCTTTACTCTATTTTTCTGTAACGACTTCCTCCAAATGCTCAATGAAATTTCCTTTAAAAAAAAAAATGCATGCCAGGCACCGGTGGCTCATGCCTGTAATCCTAGCTACTCAGGAGGCTGAGATCTGAGGATTGTGGTTCAAGACCAGTCCCAGCAGTAAAGTCCATGAGACTCTTATCTCCAATAAGGCACTAGAAAACCGGAAGTGGCGCTGTGGCTCAAGGGGTAGAGCACTTGCCTTGAGCTGAAGAGCTGAGGGACAGCACCCAAGCCCAGACTTCAAGCCCCACAACCGACCCCCCCAAAAAAGAATGCTACAGAAATGCAACTTCTAAACATTTTCCTGTTATACTTTTTGCAGCATTGTGCTACATTTACTTTAAGAGGCAATTGTAAAGATAAAGTAATAAAAATTAAAATAATATAAGCTATATATCAAAATCCCTTGTAAAGGAATTTTTAAATCCAAGTTCAGGGATAGAGACATAGATGAGCAGTAGAGTACCTGAATAACAAGCAGCAAGTCCTGAGTTTAAACTCCAGTACTGCCACACCCCACCCCCCACCTCAAAAATGTGCAAAAGAACATCACTAGGTTTCAAGAGTTCAAGTCATTCATTACAGTTTTCACTTTTATTTTTCTATCCATTATAAAATGATGAAAAATGCTTAAAAAGACAGAAATATTACAGAACAGGACCTGATATAAACACACAAATGTCACTGGTAACATACTAAAATACAAGGAAGACACGTAATTATTTCATAACTGAAAACTATATGTGTCCAATGTACTCAATTTGTGTTTATGGATATTCTGTAAGTTAAAAAGTTTACTTAGTAACACATCTTAAACAAATATAGGTTATATCTTACCAATTAAAGACTTGATATTTTCTAAGATTAAATCACTAGTAACATTTCCAGATAAATCTTGTCCCAATTCAGCAATCAGCTTAGCATAACCTTCATTCTCTTCTCTTAATAAATTGAATTTTTGCTGTTTATAGCTGAAATCAGATAAATACCATTAAGGGAATAAGATTAATTTCAATGAACAAGCTTGCACAGATCCGTGTACTTTTCTCATTGAAAAGTTTTAAACAATCCTAAAAGTTTACCTCTTTGCATTATCTTTTCAAACCCAATGTAATTAAAGAAGGAAAACCAGTAACAAGAAAAAAAATGCCAAGGAATAACACACTATTTCTATCATTGATTATGAATCCTTATATATAAACATACTTGAAAATTATTTTACTGTTAAAATTCAACTGCCATTTCAATAAAAGCAGAAAAACACACAAAACCTTTGCTAACTGCAAACAAAAAAAAAATCTTCAAAATGTCCTTAGAAATGGCTATTCTTCAAAATGAGAAATAAAATATTTGGCTACTTGATTTACAACATAAGCCACCTATACTTACAAGAGCTTCGTCTTGATTTTAACTGACTTTTGATTGAATTGCTGTGATTGTTTGATAAGCCCCAATGATTCCAATGTATCTGGATCCAAACGTTCCTTTAGAACTGTGTCTGAAACTAAATACTAATAAAAAAGATTTAAGTCATTTCTCCTTTAGCATTGAAAGTATACTTTCAAAAGAATTTTTCCAAAAATCCTACTCCATGTTTATATATATACATGTTTACATATATGTTTATGATTCTTAAAAACATAGAATTTCAATTTAACAAAATACCAAACTACATAATATACAGCTCTTTCAGGAACTTCACTTAATATTACATGTATGGTGATTACCACCTACAAATGACAAGAACTACAGGTGAAATTCTCATTAAATTTAGTATGTCTCAATAGAATTTTCACTTATATTCATTTATATGTTCACTTTTCAGCCTTCTATAGTTTTGTGTATAAGTCAAACTCTAATATAGTAAAGACAAGAGCATTTTTCCAAGACTCAGTATTGGTATTTTCTCTTTGTTCTAAATTTATTAACATGAAATGGTTTCTAAATCAATGACTATGACAAATTCAGTAGTTTATTTTTTTAATTTAATTTTATTTTCAAGGTATTGTACAGAGGTGTTACAGTTATATACATAAGGTAAAAAGTACATATTTTGTCCAACATTGTTAGTCCTTCCCTCGTTTTTCTAATTTATTATTTTTAAACTAACTCCTTTCCTCCTACTTAATAAAATGGCTTGTGGAAAAAAATAAGTTGAAAAGCTATCCACAACTATGTTTACTTCCTTTAATTATTTATTAGGAACTTAATAACAGCACTAAAAGTTGTATATGTGTGTGTGTGTATAGAGAGAGAGAGAGCACTTAAGTAATTTGGTAACTTGTTTATTTCATAGAGATATGACTAATTTACAAAACATCGTTTCAAAATCCAAATCTCATCTTATAATAACATCAAGTGAATGTCAATATCCTCCATTAGCATGTAATTTTAACTTCAGATTTTAGAAAGGGAAAATGTTTTTAAAACTTACCAAACATGCTAATACCAATTGTGTAAAATAGTCTCTCTTGCTTTTTTCTTCTAAGCAATTTGTCTCAATATCTACAATAAAAAAAAAAGAGAAAATTATGATTTATCTAGACTCTAGTAGAAAAAGCCAGGAGCCAGTGGCTCAGGCCTGTAATCCTAGCTACTTACTCAGGAGGCTGAGATATGAGGATCAAGGTTCACAGCCAGCGTGGGCAGGAAAGTCCCTGAGACTCTTATCTCCAATAAACCACTCAGAAAACTGGAAGTGGTACTGTGGTGCAAGTGATAGAGTGCTAGACTTAAGCTGAAGAGCTCAGGGACAGCACACATACCCAGAGTTCAAGCCCATGACCAACAAAAACTAAAAACTAATTTTAAGAGCTGGAAATGTGGCTTAGTGGTAGAATGCTTTCCTTGCATGCATGAAGCCCTGGGTTCAATTCCTCAGTACCATATAAACAGAAAAGGCTGGAAGTGGTGCTGTGGCTCAGCCTTGAGCTGAAGAGTTCAGGGACAGTGCCCAGGCACAGAGTTCAAGCCCCACAGCTGTTAAAAAAAAAAAAAACTAATTTTAAGAGCAAGGCTCACGCCTGTAATCCTAGCTACTCTAGAGACTGAGATATAAAGATACTGGTTCAATACTAGACCTGGCAGAAAAGTCCCTGAGACTCTTACTTCCAACAAACTACTCAGAAAAACCAGGGAATAGCAATGTGGCTCAAGTGGTAGAGCACTAGCCTTGAGCTGAAGAGCTCAGGGACAGCACTCAGGCCCAGAGTTCAGGCCCAACAACCAACAACAACAAAAAGCAAGCTGGTAGCACAGGAGCATGCTATAAAAAGGCATACATTTAGTGAAGAAAAATGGCCTCTAAATGGTTCCAAAATAATGGACATCCTACGACCACTTTGCTTCAATTTACTTTCTACTGACAACATAAATGAAAAGAGGAGATTTATCATCAAACAAAACATTTATCTTCAAACATTTTCCTCACAATAGAATTTTACTCAACCATCAGAAAGAATAATATTATGTCATTCACAGGGAAATGGATAGACCTAGAACAAATCACATTTAAGTGAGGTAAGCCAAGCTCAGAGTGACAAAGAGCGCATGTTTTCTCTCATATGTGGAAACTAAATTTAAAATACAACTGGACATGATATCTCATACTGGGCTTTATGCAGTTACACACAAATAATCAGACTAGGGGCTGGGAAGGTGGCTCAGTGGTAGAGTGCTTGCCTTGCATGCATGAGGCCCTGGGTTCAATTCCTTAGCACCACATAAGCAGAAAACGCCACAAGTGGCGCTGTGGCTCAAGTGGTAGAGTGCTAGCCTTGAGCTGAAGAGCTGAGGGACAGCACCCAGGCCCAGAGTTCAGGCCCCACAACTGACATAAAAAAAAAAACCAAATAATCAGACTAAAGGGGGATAGGATACACTTTGGCACTTAGGCAAGGAACCCAAAGATGTAACTCTTCTAAATATCTGTAACTCCTCTGGACATCTGAAGATTTAGTTACCAAAATAAATTCCAGGAAACATATTTTTCTTGGTAGTGGTGGTATTTTTATTGATGTTGTCTTTTAGGAGGGTTAAGGGGGACACAGGAATGGGGGAAGTAAGAGTGAACAAATGCAGACACTGTATCCAATATACACTATGCAAAATGAACTATGCAACCTGTGAGCAAGGACAAGGAAGGGGAAAATGTGGGAAAGCAAAGGAAGGAATGATATTGTCCCAGAAGAACTGTACTTAATACCTGACTTATGGTATTGTATCCTCTTTGTGCAACTCCTTAACAAAAGCATATTTTAACTTTATTTTTTTTTGTCTTTTCTTCTTTGGTAATGGGGCTCGAACCCAGGACGTTGCTAGGCAAGCGCTTTGCCATGGAGCTACATCCCAATCCAACAAAAGCAATGTTTAAAAAGACAAAAGGGGCTGGGAAGGTGGCTCAGTGGTAGAGCGCTTGCCTTGCATGCATGAGGCCCTGGGATCGATGCCTCAGCACCACAGAAGCAAAAAAAAAAAAAAAAAAAGCTGGAAGTGACGCTGTGACTCAAGTCACAGCTGAAGAGCTGAGGGACAGCACCCAGGCTCAGAGTTCAAGCCTCACGACTGGACCCCACCCCAACCCCCCCAAAATAAAATAAATAAAATAAATAAATAAAAAAACAAAAAACATTTCCTAGTCCTTCCCCACCTTTCCTTCTTGGACAACTGTCATTTCCCATATCTGACCCCAGTAGCTAAGTCCAAAGTTAGCACAAGTATGTAAAGGAAATTTTAGGAGGAAGACATGTAGCTGAGTGCCCAGCATGTTTTTTGTTTGTTTTGTTTTTTTTTGTCAATCATAGGGCCTGAACTCTGGGCCTGGGCACTGTCCCTCAGCTCTTCAGCTCAAGGTTAGCACTCTACTACTTGAGCCACAGCGCCACTTCTGGGTTTTTCTGCTTGTGTGGTGCTGAGGAATCGAACCCAGGGCCTCATACATACAAGGCAAGCACTCTGCCACTGAGCCACCTTCCCAATCAGTCCCTGATTAGCATGTTTGAGACCCTGGATTCAAAGACCCAAAAAAAAAAGAGGGAGGAAAATTTTAGAGTGTAATTTATAGGATATAAATTGCAGTACAATCTCAATTTCTCATTATGATTTTTAATTCATGGGTATCTTATCAAGTCTTTCCAGAAACTCCCAGTTGTTATTATCTGGTCTTCTAGGCCCTCTGCCGCCTATAAATTCAAGGACACTAACATTAAGAAGTTGAGAGCAAAGTGGGCTTGTTCACTTAACCAATACCTATTCATCCTCCAGGGCCCAAAAGTTCCTAAGATCCACACTCAAGGTCCCTAAGATTAGAATACCTAAGAGAAGATTCATCCTCTGATCTCTTATTAGCCACCTGACCTAAATAAGGTATTATCTTAGCTTCTCACCATGTGAGCAAATGCATAATAGGCCTTCATAAATTTCTTAGCTGAGCTTTCCCAAACAGCAATATAATACTTTGTTATCTTCATTGTGCTTTCCCTATTTTCTTTGTGCTTTCTGTTCTAGTTCATAAGACCATTCAGATAAACTCACTTATCCCTGACTCCTTTACCGTGCTAAGTTTTAAGTTCCCCAATTATTTTAGTGAAAAATCCCAATTTGTTCAACACTTGTCATCAGTATCAAATACATAACACCACCTTAGAGGTCCTATGAACATCAACTCTTCAGAATTCCCTTTTCAAGTTAAAATACTCATTCTCCCTCACACTACATGTCTTTTTCCCCCTTTTTCCACTTTTTGTTCTTTTTTTCAGAAGTCCCTTTTTTAAGTTATGTTAACTTGGAAAGAGATATAGCACTAATTTTTCTTTTAACAACATAATAGAAAAACAGCATGATGGAGCAAAAATTGACTAGATCGACTAAATTTCCAAAGAATAACCAAGTATCACATTCAAGAATTCATGTTACTAGTAAAAAGTAAAGATGTATAACATTAATTCATATGAGTACATAACTATGAAAGGAAACTACATCCTAACATATAAATGGATAAAAAAATTACTAGAACAAATAGATTAACAACTGATGACTAGTCAAAGATAATTCTAAAACTATTAAGGATTAATAAAATTGAGGGCTTTTCACAAAATCAAATGTAATTCTAAACTACTAAGGAATAAGAGCTTTCATAAATCTTAGCTACATAAAATCAGTCTCAGTCTTAAAAATGTATTGCACAAAAAATTTTAACTGAAACTTGTTTCATATTTCATTGTAAAATAACCTATCTTTAGTGCTAGCTTCAAAAATTAAGTTTAAAAGGTGTTTTGTTTAGCATAAAACAATCAATTTGATAGCATAAACATATAATTTATCATCCAAAGGAGAACAGATTCAAGAATAAAAAAGGGCACTACTACAGCCGGGCACCGGTGGCTCATACCTGTAATCCTAGTTACTTAGGGGACTGAGATCTGAGGACTGCAGTTCCTGCAGGCAGGAAGCCCAGGGAGGAAAGTCTGTGAGACTCTTACCTCCAATAAACTACTCAAAAAATGCTGGAAGTGGCGCTGTGGTAGAGAGCTCATCTTGAGCAAAAGAAGCTCAGAGACAGTTCCAGGTCGAGAGTTCAAGCCCCAGGACCAACAAAAAAAAAAGAAGAAGAAACAGGGCACTACTAATAATTATGCCAATGAATATGAGACAGATGATCAAGGACATATGGATAGTTCATCAAGAACCTGTACTTCACATCTAGCACTCACAGTTCACATATATTTTGAACTGCTCTCAACATCATCAGTATTCTGAAATCTGAAACCTTATGAAGTATCACACACTGACATTTATAAGTGTTTAGATCAAATTTTGCAATCTCAGTAACATCTAAGTATTTATCTAATTCTAGGAATTAAGAATGATGAACTAAAATCATTCATTTTAGCTTGACAAACTGAGAGAATATCTTACTTTAAGTATTAAATGCCAAGTAATGATTTCTCCTAGACTCAGTATTATAGAAAGAAAAAAATTACAGAAAGCACAAAACCAATGGGAAAACTATAAACAACGTTCTCTTAATCAGGATCTAAAATTAAAGAAATTATTATAGACATTATTTTTTAATCCATGCTTCCCATGAAGGGATATTACCTTTGTTCTAAGTCACACAAGTATTTTTATTGTGCATGAGTTCTTATTTTTCTGGACAAATAGAAAAGACATTATCCCCAAAGCTAGTTTCTAATTCTCAAAACCCAAGTATATTTTTTTGGTGCCGATACTCTGGGCGCTTTGTCTGAGGATTTTTTATTGTTTTTGCTCAAGGTCAGTGCTCTACATCTTGAGCCACTACTCCACTTGGCTTTTTAGTAGTTAACTAGAGATAAAAGTCTCATGGACTTTCCTGCCTACGCTAACTTTGAACTATGTTCCTCAGATCTCAGCCTCCTAAGCATTTAGGATTAGAAGAATGAGCCACCAGCACCCAGGCAAACACAAATACTTTGTTACTTTGGCTCTTCTTGGTCTTTCTAAAATTAAGAAGAATCAAACAAGCACAACAGCAAAATCAGAGTGACGTAAGTATGAAACTCTAATATCACTCTTTGGAAACTGAATTGAATGACATTATTTGGTTAGTAAATTCATAGTTAATGTCAGAGAACTTAGCTGTTTTTGCTTACAATGAGTTATTTTCGCTCAAATTTATATAAATATTGCTAAATGCTCAAAAATTTGCATTATATCTAAAAACAATTTTAAAAATGATTACAAAGTAAAAGATTTCTCTAGATTTACAGAAACAAATGCATACGTGTAAAATATTTATTTAAAAAAAATTTGTAGTACTTAAATTTGAATTCCGGGTCAAGTAAGCACTGTACCTTGAGCCATGCCTCCAGCCTGAAATAAAACATTACTGTTAATTTTTAAAAAGCAGTATATTACAGGTAAAATAAAGGTTTAATACCTACCTAATATGCAGAATACATCAGCAAGAATGGAGGGCATATCCTCGCGAAATTCCTAATTTTAAAGATATATTTATTTATAGTTAATAATAGCACACATTAAGCATTATAACTTCACAATAACATACTTCATGCTTATAAGCTAACAAAAACCCCAACATCTTCAAATTATGTTTAATATAAAAGATAAAATGATTTAGAATGATCAAAATAAAGTTTGCCATAAAATAATTGATAAAAGAATCTCATGAAAGCACCAAGGAAAGCACTGGAATTCAGAATACCTCACAACTACCTAAACCCAGACTGTCAAAAATGTTACATTTGTTTGTTTTTCTTTTTGTGCCAGTCCTGTGGCTTGAATTCAGGGCCTGGATACTGTCCCTGAGCTTTTTTGCTCAAGGTTAGTGTACAACTAGTTGAGCTATAGCTTCTGACTTTGGGTAGTTTACTGGAGATAAGTCTCCCAGAGGGCTAGGAAGGTGGCTCAGTGGTAGAGTGCTTGCCTTGCATACATGAAGACTTGGGTTCAATTCCTCAGCACCACATAAACAGAAAAAGCTGGAAGTGGTGCTGTGGCTCAAGTGGTAGAGTGTTCACCTTGAGCTGAAGAGCTCAGGGACAACATCCAGGCCCAGAGTTCAAGCCCCATGACCAACCAAAAAGAAAAAAAAAAAACTCTTCCAGACATTCCTGACTGGGCTGGCTTCAATAGCTAGGATTATAGGTGTGACCCACCAATAGCCATTAAAATGATACATTTTATTCACGTATTCAAATGCTAAGTCAACACTTGAGCTACATAAAAATCATAATGGCATCCGAAGACCAAAAATCTAAAAAATATACAACAGCTATTTGTTCTACAATGCAAGATTCTCTGAAAATAAAAATTACCAAAATCTGGGCTGGGAAGGTGGCTCAGTGGTAGAGTGGTAGAGTGGTAGAGTGCCTTGCATGCATGAGGCCCTGGGATCGATTCCTCAGCACCACATAAGCAGGAAATAAAAAGCCAGAAGTGGCGCTGTGGCTCAAGTGGTAGAGCACTAGCCTTGAGCTGAAGAGCTGAGGGACAGCGCGCCCAGGCCCAGAGTTCAGGCCCCACCACCGGACAAAAAAAAAAATTACCAAAACCCATATTTTCCCTATTCACTCTAGTTTATAGCCTTTGGAGGAATGTAGCCCAAATCCTGTTTCTGGATGAGAACATCAGAATTATTCTACGTTTATCTTCTGACTTCCCACTCTGATGCTCAATTTTAGAACCATTTTCTATTAATAAGGATCATAATTCAATTAATGTCATTTTAGTTTGGTAAAACTATAGCAACCCTAAAATTCATAGATTTTCAGAGACTATAAGAAATTTTAAAAATAGCCATTACAATGATACATATAAAATACACTTATGTGGCTAACATATTACACAGAGTGTATTATTATGAGAAAGCTAGGACAAAGAAAATTTGCTCAAAAAAAAGAAAATCTGCTAAACTGTATAAAGCTCATTTGAACTACCTATTTTCATTAAATAGAAAAATATTTAAAATTAGAATTCATAAATCCACTACAAATTACTATGATTTTAGCCTTAAGTTTCTCAAGGGTAAGAACTTTGGATGGGGCCTGAGAATGTGGCTAAGTGGTAGAGTGCTTGCCTTGCATGCATGAGGCCCTGGTTTCAATTCCTCAGCACAACATAAGCAGAAAAAGCCAGAAGTGGGGCTGGGAAGGTGACTCAGTGGTAGAGCACTTGCCTTGCAAGCCTGAGGCCCTGGGTTCGATTCCTCAGCACTATATAAGCAAAAAGAAAAAGCCAGAAGTGGCACTGTGACTCAAGTGGTAGAGCGCTCACCTTGAGCTGAAGAGCTGAGGGACAGCCCAGACCCAGAGTTCAGGTCCCACAATTGACAAAAAAAAAAACACCTTTGGATGTATTTACTTAAATCCAAGTACTCAGGCTACACTTGGAAGACCAGAAATACTGAACAGATGAGAGGGTTTGGGAGAGATTGGGGAAAATGATGGAAGGGAAGATTCTGATCAATACACATTGCACCCACCAACTGACAAAGTGATTGAAATCCCTTTGTACAGCTACACACATACACATACACATACACATACATACACACACATACATTCATTCCATCCTTTTTGGCTTTTAAGAAAAAAAATAAGGGGCTGGGAAAGTGGCTCAGTGGTAGAGCGCTTGCCTTGCATGCCTGAGGCCCTGGGTTCGATTCCTCAGCACCACATAAACAAAAAGAAAAAAGCCGGAAGTGGCGTTTTGGCTCAAGTGGTAGAGTGCTAGCCTTGAGCTGAAGAGCTGAGGGACAGCACCCAGGCCCAGAGTTCAGGCCCCACAACTGCCCCCCCCCAAAAAAAAGAAAAGAAAAAAAATAAGACAGGCACCAGAGTGGCTCATGCCTATAATCCTAGCTACTCTGGAGGCTAATATCTGAGAATCACAGTTCGAAAGCAGCCCAGGAAGTAAAGTCTGTGGCACTCATCTCCAGTTAACTACTAAAAAGCCAGAGTTGAGCTGTGGCTAAAGTGGTAGCATGCTAGCCTTGTGTCAAAAAGTCCAAAGCCCTAGACTGGCAGAGAAGAAAAGAAAGAGGAGGAGGGGGAAGGAGAAATAAAGCAATACAAGAGTTTATAAACATGAAATCTAAGATTCTTTTTTTTTTTTTTTTGGGTCCGGTCGTGGGGCCTGAACTCTGGGCCTGGGCGCTGTCCCTCAGCTCTTCAGCTCAAGGCTAGCGCTCTACCACTTGAGCCACAGCGCCACTTCCGGCTTTTTTCTTTTTGCTTATGTGGTGCTAAGGAATCAAACCTAGGGCCTCATGCATGCAAGGCAAGTGCTCTACCCTGAGCCACCTTCCCAGCTCCGAAATCTAAGATTCTTAAGAAATAAATCACTTCACCATTAACAATGCTGCTTATTTTATCAGCAGAAGATCTACCACTCAAACATACCTCAATTAGGAGTAGAGGAGTCACAACAGCTAAACCTAGAATTTCCTTAAGTAGAAGTACTTAAAATGCATTGAAATAGCAATGTATTTTTAAAAATCATATAAAGGAAATATCCTACCCCTAAAAAAGGAAAAGGACAGAGAAATTTAAAGCACACAAGGGAAATTCATATAGAGATCAAGAACCTACAGATCCCAACTTAATACTTGTTATTATAAAAAAAAATGTTCTCAAGTAAACAAATAAAATTATTTATATAAGTGTAAAAAACAACCTAAGAATAATACTAGAATAGCACACCACTTGTAAAACTCCATGCTTTAACTTCTGGTTTATAATATACACTCTTACAATTTAACAGCTCAAATACCAACCACCACAAAGTATTTAATCTGAATCTAAATTTGAATCTAAATTAAATGCTGCAATATTAACCACCTACAGGTTTAAAAATTTAATGGTTTCTAAAACAGAGTAAGCAGACAAAAAATTAGGAAAAATTTTAGATCAATGTGAGCACAATACAACTTATGTATCAATTATAAAAATCCTGAATTGTAATCATAATTGTTTAAAAAGCTTCATCATATTATATTTGAAGAAAAATATTTTAACTATTTTTAAAGAAGCTTTTATTTTTTCTGCCAGACTTGGGGCTTGAACTCAAGGCCTGGGCGCTGTCCCTGAGCCTCTTTGTGTTTAAGGTTAGCGTTCTACCACTTGAGCCACAGTGCCACTTCTAGCTTTTTCTGAATAGTTTATTGGAGATAAGAGTCTCGTGAACTTTTCTGCCTGGGCTGGCTTTGAACCACTATTCCTCAGACAGATCTCAGCCTCCTGAGTAGCAAGGATTGCAGGCCTGAGCCACCAGTGCTCAGCTTTAGAAAAGCATTTTTAATTAAGAATGCCTTACTTCATTAAAGTGAACGTTTTTTCCTCTCCTCAACTTGCTTATTTATCATTTTTGCTTTACTTACAACCTGATAAATATCTATACATGTCTAGAAAAAAAATGACTTACCAACTTTATGTTAAACACTACAATAATTTTGAATAAAATAAAACATTAAGTTACACATCAAGGATCTTTGTATCAGAGACACAAAAAAATTAAGTTTTAAATAAATTTGTTTATACTTACACTAATATCAGTAAGAACATTAGATGCTTGTTCATGCTTTAAATTTCCTTTAATCACATGATATGATAACTCATACAAGGCTTGCTGAAAATCTGTCGAATATAAAATAAAACATAGTTTCAGGACAGTCTCTTAAACACAAAAGGCATTGATTTCTGGAAAATGATCTCTATCTTTCCTATTTCTCAGAATTTTTATAAACATCAGAAATAAAAACAGAAAACCTAATTCACATCCCTGTTAATCCAAAAACTAGGATGCTGAGGTAGGAAGGGATCAAACTGGACGCCACCCTAGGCCACAGACCAAGACCCTTTCTCAAAGACACAAAAAAGTAGCCCTGTGCCAGTGGCTCACACCTGTAATCCTAGCTACTCAGAAGGCTGAGAGCTGAGGATCACGGTTCGAAGTCAGCCCAGGAAACAAGTCCATGAGACTGTTGTCTGCAATTAAGCACCAAAAAGGCCAGAAGTGGAGCTGTGGCTCAAGTAGTAGAGCACTAGCCTAGAGCTGAAACACTCAGGAACAAACCTAGTCCCAGAGTTCAAGCCCCACAACCAACAAAAAAAAAAAATGTATAGCCACTAAAATGGCTTCTAGAAATTCCTAAAAGTACTCTGTGAGGTTTAAAAATTGAACAGACCAGATCCTGGTTCTGTCTAATGTCACTATATTTAACAGTCATAATCACAATGTTGTTATATGGGTAAGAGGCAGGGGTAACTTCTAAAACACATGCTGTATACAAGGCAAATTGCCTTCCTAAAATTGAATTAATTCAATGGAAAGACAGAAAGAAAGATCAGGACAAACAACTGCCCATACTTCAATTCCAAAGGTGCTTCTGAGGAAGAAATAGCATTCAAGTGGGATCAGGTGGCTCATTCCTGTAATCCTAGCTACTCAGGAGGCTGAGATTTGAGGATCATGGTTCAAAGTCAGGCTGGGAAAGAAAGTCCATAAGACTGTAGTCTGCAATTAAGCACCAAAAAGTCCAGAAGTGGAGCTGTGGCTCAAGTGGTAAAGTGCTAGCTTTGAGCAACAATGCTCAAGGACAGCAGCCCAGCCCTGAGTTCAAGCCCTAGGACACACACACACAAAAATAAATAAATAGCATTAAGTCAGTTTTCTTCATGGACCAAACTTGGGCCTTCACACCATAACTGGACTACTAGAGAAAGTGTGTGTGTGTGTGTGTGTGTGTGTGTGCGTGTGTGTGTGCGCGTGTGTGCATGCGTGTGTTAAAAAAACACTCAGATTAAAAAAAAGGGAATAGTGACAATTCAATGAGACCACAATCATAAATACTTGTGGTTTCATATGTGAACCAAAACAATCACAATAATCCACTAGTTACTAAAGATCTACAATCCAAGTTAAAGCTAATGAGCAGTAACACTGTATTATATACTTAAGCCATTCTCTTATATCCATGTAGGATTTTAATCAAACAAGACTAAGGTTTAAATGAAAAAAGTTTTAAAATAATTTAAAGCATGGGGATGAAAAAGAAAATACATTTAGGGGGGTGGGAGATGGGAAAGGATGGGAATGAGAAACAAAGGAGGAGGCAACAATGCTTGATAAGAAATGTACTCATTACCTTGCCCATGTAATTGTAACCCCTCTGTACGGTATTTTCACAATTAAAAAAAAAAAAAAGAAAATGCATTTAGTATCCAAATGGGTAGTTTCTGTTTTGTTGTTGTTCTTTTTTGGTGTTTTTTATTGGGGGGGGCAATTGTGAGGCTTGATATCTGGGCATGGTCACTGTCCCTGAGCTGTTCAGCTTAAGGCTAGTTAGCGCCCTACCACTTTGAGGCACAGCCCCACTTCTGGTTCTCTGGTGGTTAATTGAAGATAAGAGTCTCACAGACTTTTTCCTGCCTAGGCTGGGCGGGCTTTGTGCAACAATTAGGAATACAGGTGTGAGCCACTGGCACCAGGCTTGTTTTTGTTATTTCATACAGACTCTCATTATATAATCCAGGCTGGCCTTCAAGTCTCAATCCTGTTGACTCCAACTCCCCAGTTCTGGAATTATAGGCATACACTTCCACATTCACTGCTAATTGTTTCATGAAGGATTATTTTATACTGTCATATTTTTTTACTTACACCATATCAACATACATCAATCTCTATAGTCATCATGGTAATATACAGTCAGATATGTTAGTGTTAGTGGGTAAAGTGTTTGGGAATGGTAACAGTCCACAGTTCATGGTGAAAAATCTTTCAAGACCTTTTAAAGGCACATGTGTTTCCTTTTTTTTCCAGTCCTGGGGCTTGAACTCAGGGCTAGGCACTGTCCCTGAGCTTATTTTGCTAAAGGCTTGTACTCTACCACTTGAGCCACAACTCCACTTCTGGCTTTTTTTTTGGTAAGTTATTGGAGATAACAGTCTCAGACTTTCCTACATGGGCTGGCTTTGAACAGCAATCGTCAGATCTCAGCCTCTTGAGTAGCTACAGGAGCCCAGGGGCACATGTGTTTCTTGAACATGTTCTCCAAACAAGTTCTTATTATGTAATAGATTCATTATAGCCTTCTTTTTTTGCCAATCCTGGGGCTTGAACTCTGGGACTAGGCATTGTCCCTGAGCTTCTTTTGCTCAAGGCTAGCACTCTACCACTTGAGCCACAGCACCACTTCGAGCTTTTTCTGTATATATGGTACTGAGGAATCAAACCCAGGGCTTCAGGCATGCTAGGCAAGCACTCTACCACTAAGTCACTTTCCCAACCCCTCACTATAGCCTTTAAACTTTGAGGGATTCCAGGTTCATTTATTGCTTAAAAAATAAAATCTTATTCAGGATTTTTTTTACAAGACATTTGTTCTAAGCCTTTTAAAAAGGCTCACACATGTAATCCTAGCTACTCAGGAGGCTGAGATCTGAGGACCACAGTTTAAAGCCAGCTCCTGCAGGAAAGTCCATGTGACTCTTATCTCTAATTAACCACCAGAAAACAGGAAGTGGCACTGGGGCTCAAGTGGTAGAATGTTAGTCTTGAGCTAAAGAGCTGAAGGACAGCACCTAGGTCCAGACACTGGTGGCTAAGGAGGCTGAGATGTGAGGACTGAGACAAATCTGAGACACGTTAACTAGCAAAAAGCTGGAACTTGAGGCATGTTCAAGTGGTAAATCACAATTTTTTATGAGTGATTATACAGTATTTTTGTTTGCAGTGCTGAGGCTTGAGCCTAAGAGTTCATAGCTAAATTTTCTACCATTGAGCTATATATCATATCCTCCACCAAATTGTACAATCTTGAAAATAAAATAAAGGTTAATAATTTGAAGGGTCACATGCAAGGGACATTAAGTCTTTTTTAAAAAAAGGACCTTATGGCTAGGAATGTGGCTTAGTGGTAGAGTGCTTCCCTAGCATACATGAAGCCCTGGGTTCAATTCCTCAGTACCACAAAAACAGAAAAAGCCAAAAGTGGCACTGTGGTTCAAGTGGTAGAACAAAAGAAGCTCAGGGACAATGCCCAGGAACTGAGTTCAAGCCCCAGGACTGGCCAAAAAAGAACTTTAGATGGGCACTGCTAGCTCCTGCCTGTAATCCTAGCTACTCAAAAGGCGGAGATCTGAAGATCACAACTGAGGCAGAAAAGTCTGTTGTAAGACTATCTCTACTTAACCACCAGAAACCTGGAAGTGGAGCTGTGGCTCAAAGTAATAAGAGTGTTAGCCTTCAGCAATAAAAGCTCAGAGACAGTGCTTAGGCCTTTGTACTCAAGCGCTATGATCAACTTAAAAAAGGATCGTATTCAATCAAATATCTAAAAATTATTTCCTACAACCAAATGTTCTATAAAAAGTATCTTCCTCCCATCAAGGCAATATTTAATGATAGAATAAAATAAACTGTTTTATAGAAAAACATTCTGTTCTTAATCTTCCAGTCAGAAAGGTATAATCTAAATAACTAATCAATTATATATATTGATTTCTAGGTTCAAATAAAATACTGACTAGAAAAAACATGGGTTTTGTCCTCACTAAAAGGTACATATAAAATGCAGCAGCAGTTCTCACTAAACAGTATGTTGAAAATTAACTATACAACTTGTGAGTGGGCTGGGAAGTTGGCTCAGTGGTAGAGTGCTTGCCTTGCATACCTGAGGCCCTGGGTTCGATTCCTCACTACCACATGAGCAGAAAAAAAAAGCCGGAAGTGGCACTGTGGCTCAAGTGGTAGAGCGCTAGCCTTGAGCTGAAGAGCTGAGGGACAGCGCCCAGGCCCAGAGTTCAGGCCCCACGACCGTACCAAAACAAAACAAAACAACTTGTGAGTGGGGATAAAAGGAAAACCTGGGAGATAGCAAGGGAAGGGATGACATTTGTCCAAAAAAAATGTACTCTTTTCCTGACTTATGTAACTGTAACTCCTCTGTACATCACCTTTACAATAACAATAAAAAAATATTTAAGGGTATATATGAAAATACTTTAAAGCCAGTGCTAGTGGCTCACACCTATAATCTAGCTACTCAGTAGGCTGAAATCTGAGGATCAAGGTTTGAAGCTAGCCCAAGTAGAAGTCTTTCAAATTCTTATCTTGAAAAACCCAACAAAAAGCCAAAAGTGGAGCTATAACTCAAGCTGCAGAGGACTAGCCTTAGAGAAAAAAAGCTCAAGGACAGTGCCAGGCCCAGAATTCAAGCCCCAGAACCAACAACAAAAAAAAAAGAAAGTATTTTAAACTTGCTATACACAAGTGCTTGTATTTTGCCCCTCTTCTGCCAAATCCACATGCCTAACTTTCAATTAATAAATATTAAACAGCAAAATCTTTTAAATCTAAAACAAATACCCTGTTTAATTATATAGCATTTAACTTAGCAAATCCATTTTGTGCTATGCTGTAAACAACTTCTTTGCTCTTAATGTTTTCTATGACAACTGCCTTTAACAAGATCCCCAGACACCACCTGAACATAACTAGCTTTAGTAAAAACACCAAACTCAGTCTGTGGAAATTTTCTGATACAAACGAGACCAAAACTCTTTTTCTTTCCATGCTGGCTTTCTCTTTCATTTTATGCTTGGTACAGCTACAACTGAGCTTGAACTAAATATACAAAAGTCTGGAAACAGCATATGACTAAAATACAGGTCAAATAACATCAGTATATATACAAGATACATAGTCTTTTGATAATTTTAATTTCAACTCTAATCCACTTATATACATACTGTATATAATGTGAACTCCTACCTTTGGTTCCCATACTTAATGAATAAGGAATTATTATGTTTAATCAAGCCAGAAGTAGCTATGAATACTTTTAAATATCATACCTCTGTAAGTAGAACTGTCATGGCTTTTATTTTCACTGAGAAGCCGGCATAAATGCAAGCTAGAAGAAAACAGAAAAAAATAATCTATCCATTTCCAATCCTAAAAGATAATTGTAATAGAATAAGTTTTATCAACTTTAAAATTGATGGAAACATAGCATACACATTTAAATACATTAGTTCATAAGGACAAAACCAACCCTTAAACCATAACCAGTCAGAACCAGAGGACACTATAATGAATCAATTCATTATTCTGAAAACTAAATTCATTAATATGAACACTAGATAACAAATATCTATATATTTTAACTATGTTAGCCAATAAAGAGGGAATGAGATACATGGAGAATCTAGACTTTTTTAAAAACATAAAAGTAGAAAAGGAAGAATGGGAAACCAACGAGAGCCAAGTGAAGGTGATCAGGGTATGTATAATCAAAGAACACTGAATGTATATATAAGAGCATCATAACTAAATCCCTTATTTTGAACAATATATGCTAATCAGGAGGGAATGATACAATTAGAACATCACCATTTGACGATCTCTAATAAAAATCCAGCCATCTGTCAATAGCTGATTGTGCCATAAAAGCAAACTACCAACATGTACCTTCTGTTCCTGATGAAAGAATGCACCACCCCAAGGGAAATAAAATATCAAAGTGATATTGCATTTTCCTGTTCATTGCAGCACTTTTCACAAGAGCCAAGATGGAATCAACCTAGGAACCCATCCATGGATGACTGGATAAAGAAAATATGGGAAGCACCATGGCTCACACCTATAATCCCAACCAACTATCTGGGAGATCAAAAAAATGTTGAAAGGCCAGCACAGGCAGGCAAAAAGTGAGATAAAATATCAACAAATATGCTGGGTATAGTAGAAGTCACCTGTCATCTTAGCTATGAGGATGGCAGTTCGAAGCCAGCCTGGGCAGAAAATAAACCATGGGACTCATCTCCAATTAGCTACTCAAAAGAAACCAAAAATGGTGCTGGGGTTCAAAGTGGCAGAGCTCTGGCTTGAGTGAAAGAGCTCAGGGACAGTATCCAGGCCCTGTGTTCAAGCCCCACAACTGACAAAAATAAATAAATACCCAAAAATGGCACTGTATCTCAAAGAACCTTGAGCACAAATGCTCAGGGACAGTGCCCAGGCCCTAAGTTCAAGCCCCAGGGCCAACACAAAAAAAGGGACAGAGACATGGCTCAAATGACATAGTTCCTGGCTAGCAAATATAAGGTCCTTAGTATCCTATGTACCTCCAAAACATGAGGTAGAGAATGGGACTTGGCTCAGAATAATTTACCCAGAGTCTTTGTGTTCAATGTCCAGCACTATAAAAACAAACCAACACAAAAGAAAATGAAGACTCGGTACACACTGCAATATTATTTAGGCAATAAAATTAAATGCTGTCATTCACAGCAACACAGATAGCTGAAACTGGAGGACATTATGTTTAGTGAAATAAGTCAGGCTGAGGAAGAAACATCCCACATTTTCACTTACATAGTCAAGCTAAAAACTTGACCTCATTGGTATCGAATAACAGTTACTAAATCCTAGGAGAGTAGAGTGAGGACAGCTGGATAGGAGGAATAATTTCTAATGTTCTATATAGCATTGCGTGAGAATTATGGCTGACAACCATTTCAAAACAGAAAGTAGAGAGAATTATTTTTGGAGGGTGGAAGCAAGGGGCTTGAACCTAGGGCCTAGGTGCTGTCCCTTTCACTCAAGGCTAGTGCTTTACCACTTTGAGCCACAGCTTCACTTCAGGTTTTCTGGTGGTTAACTGGAGATGTGTCTCCTAGACTTTCCTGCCTAGGCTGGCTGTGAACCACAATCCTCAGTTCTCAGCCTCCTGAGTAGCTAGGATTTATAAGTGTGAGCCACCAGCACCTGGCTAGAGAGGACATTAATAACCATCACTGAGGTTATGGAAATGCCTGAACCACTGGTACCCAGTTCATTCATATTTTATTTTTGCCAGTCCTGGGGTTTGAACTCTGGGCCTGGACACTGTTCTTGAGCTTCTTTTGCTCAAGGCAAGCACTATACCACTTGAGCCGTAGTGCCACTTCTCATTTTTTCTGTGTATGTGGTACTGAGGAATCAAACCCAGGGCTTCATGCATGCAAGGCAAGCACTCTACCACTAAGCCACATTCCCAGCCCCCATTCATCATTTTTTATTAAAAACACTGAGACATGGAATTTCCTCAATTCAATAAAGTAGCAGCTGGACCCGTTGCAACTATGAGAAGTACAAGTTGTCATGTCGAAAATGAACTTTACAACTTTGGTGTGGGGGGTGGGGGGAGGTGGGAGGTGGATTGGGTGGGGGGCGGGGGAAGGCTGGGAAGGGATGTGAAGGATAAACAAAGGAGGAGGCTGCAATGTTTGATAAGAAATGTACTCATTACCTTGCCCATGTAATTGTAACCCCTCTGTACAGTATCTTCACAAAAAATTAAAATTAAAAAATAAAAATAAAGTAGCAGCCATTCTGAGTGTGAGTTTCAACAAAACCCTGATCCTAAGACTCACTGGAGATCTGAGAGATCATATTATGTTCATAATAAAACCTTTTGTACTGTACAGATATTTGCATGAATATGCTTAAAGCAATGAAGGATATAGCTTTTGATTAAACTGACTCAGAGTGCTGACAAGATTTGGCACACTCAAGATGCCTGAGGCCACTGGGAACAAAGCAGCTGGATGGGGCTAGGCAATGGTGGATCACAATTGTCATAGTAGCTATTCAGGAGATCTGAGGATTACAGTTCAATGCCAGCCCAGGCAGAAAAGTCCTTGAGACTTTCTGATTAACCAGGAAAAAACTTTAAGTGGAGGTATGGCTTAAATGAGTATCAGCCTTGAATAAAAAGTGAAGCCATAAAGTCCTGATTTTAAGCCCTAAGACTGTTAGCACACATACACAAAAGAAAAAAAAAAAAACGGGCAGCATGCTCCTGCTTCAGAGAATCCATGTTATAGCATATGAACATTAGAGAGAGGCTGAGATTATAATACCTGAAAATAAAGAATAAACCAGCAAACTTATTATAATCTACAACCACAGCCAGGCAAAGTGGCACACACTTGTAATCCAAGCTATTCAGGAGGCAGAGACAGATGGATCTATGTTCAAAACCAGACCAGGAGCAGGCGCTGGTAGCTCACATCTGTAATCCTAGCTACTCAGGAGACTGAGATCTGAGGATCTCGGTTCAAAGCCAGCCCGGGCAGGAAAGTCCTGAGACTCTTATCTCAAATAAGCCACTAGAAAACCAGAAGTGGCGCTGTGGCTCAAGCAGTAGAGAGCTCACTTTGAGCTGAAGAGTGTAGGGACGGGGGCCCAAGCCCAGAGTTCAAACTCCCACGACCGACCAAACAAAACAAAACAAAACAAAAACAGGTTAGGCAAAGATAGTGTGAGACAGACACTATCTGAAAAAGAAACTACAGTAAAAGCAAAAAAACTAGGCCTCAAGTGGCAGGGAGGTTACCTCACAAATATAAGGCCATGAGTTGAATCCCTGGTACCACAAATATACAAAGCATACAAACAAAAAAATGAAACTTTAAAAGGGCTGGGAAGGTGGCTCAGTGGTAGAGCGCTTGCCTTGCATGCATGAGGCCCTGGGTTCGATTCCTCAGCACCACATAAACAAGAAGAAAAAA